AGTTATTTTAAGGTATTAAAACAGAGATGGGGTGTACAGAATTTTGCTGATATAGACTAAAAAGCTGGAGGTAGATGTAAATTTCACGTCAGCATGGGCTAGGAAATAAATTACCCCAAAATTTTATTAATGGTTTTGGAAGTCCGGTGATGGCTCTCACTGCCCATATAGGAATAATGATCAGAAGTGGTTGCTCATCGGAGATATTGGGCCATAAAATACCCTTATTTTTGGACTTTGTCAAAACCAGAAAAAGTTGTCTTTACTTGAGCGAGAGGAAGAAATGAAATGAAAAAGTTACAACAATTCAATTTTCTAGAAGTCTGATAGATATTAAATACAACCCAGTTCATTGAATTTGCAGATGGATTTTCAGTTTGTCACAGCAGCAATGCAAAGTTAGCAAATTAATTATGCAAAAATTAAAGGAAATGGAGGTTTTCCCAGGGGTACCTTATATCTCCCAGGGAATTAAATATTTTGACCTATTATTTTCCCACATTTGATAATTAACAATTATCCTTTGAAAGAGAGGTGAATAGTGGCTAAATATTCCCGAAAGCCACTATTCACCGAGATTGAAAAGAATAATTGTTTTAGTATATACACACGAAGTGATCTCGACAAAATTAAAAGGAAGCCATTTAAAGGCAATTTCTGCTTCTGAAACTTTAGCGAAACGCGAGTTTACGCCCGCTATTTTGTTTTTCACATTATCCACTCGCTCGGAGGTGTACATTGTTGATTAGCCCGAGATAGCAAACCAATCAGATTGCTTGAAACGCCAAGATCACTGAGTGTGTATATACTAATTCATAATACTCAGCATTTGTGCCAAGTTTGGCCAAATCGGTGATTTGAGGTTTATCGCCCCTGCTCGGTTCTGCCCGGTTTTCTCGTGGACACGCTCATAAGAATCTCTTCCTCCCTCATTGCACCTGACTGACTGCATCAGTCAGATAGCGGAAGAAAAAAGCGCGGTATTCACGATCTTCGTTAACATTAGTTTTGTTTAGCACTGTAAATTGTGCCTGTCTGTGCCACGCGGCACACATCTACGGTATAAGGCTGTTTTCCTTGTCGCTACTCCAAAGCCCTCAGAGAGTCAGGCTGATGAAAATTTGCAGCAACTCCAGCGTTATATAACGTTCTGATATTAATGATTAACTCAGAATGATTCTTCCAGGGAGTAGTTTGGGGAAGTTTAGTTGTTTATCTATACGACCATATTTTTATGTATTAAAATTCATTTATTTCATGTAAGTAACTTTCTTGCTTTTACAAATCAAGATGACATTTGCTATTTTAAAAGTAGGTTTATATATGTTGCCTTACGTCTGCTCGTCAAGCAATGTCTCCATGATCTGTTGTGATATCAGAAGAACCTGCCACACGAGATTTCAAAGTAGAAAAAGGAAAAGTCAACAACTTCAAATTACAGCCTTAACGAATGCCAATAACAAGTAGCTTTATGTAGCCATGTTCGCACACGAAAATTCTCCAGAAAAAAAAATACATTAAAAGGCGTGTTACGATTAGCAGAAGACTATTCATGTACAAATGAGTTCATCACTGCATAACATGAAGTTTCTTGACAGCCCAAGTCGATTGTAGCATTCTTCGAGGGGAAATCATGAAAACAGTGATCAATCCTTAAGTGCAAGATTGACTGTTTTTTTTTTTAGGCGAATATCGACCAGTCTTCTTAAATTAGCTATTTATTACAAATTGACCCTCTTCTGAGCACATTTTAGCGTTTAGCTTCAAGATGCGATGGTCTAAAATTTCTCATTTTGTTATCCCAAGAAGGTACTTGAATCTACTTCAAAGGTTAGTCATCACTGTAGGTAGCTGACTCTAGAAAGCTACCTTGAGACTTCGTTACGCACTAATCCAAGTTATCCGCTTTGTCTTGGCAATGTCCTTGATGGCGAAATGATAATAACGTGGTACCCGTCAGACGCTGAACTAAATGATTTGGACGATGATCAAGAAACGACACAACTTGCTTTGGATCAGCTTGATCAAATGATGCAGTTGGATAACATTCGCGCAGCCATCGTTCGTGCAAGCACCAATTTTTTTAAGTCCCTTCGCCAGGAAATTCTTTTCCGAAATTTTTGTTTCCATTTTTCAGACGTCTGTCTCTGTCAGCCCTACGCTCATCCTAACGAACACAAATTCTACAAATTCGTTAAATTAGAGCCTTGAATTAATGGCGACACTGGATTTATAGAAAGAACAAGACATATAGAAATAGGAATGAATACCTTTATCAGATTGAGGACCCACGAAATAGAACCATGCTTCAACAGTTTAACCATTTCGACTTCTTTAGGAACAGAAAACTAATTAGATCATTTTTCATAATTTTTCAGACATCATTTTACAATGTGAACCCTGAAGAACCAATATACTAAGAATTCTTTAGTGCTCAGTCATGCGCATGTTGTAACAGAAATACCGCGGAGACAATTTTGGTAACGATTTTTATACATAACGCCGTCAAATATGGCATAACATGGGGTTTTTTATCGTTCTTTAGAAATCGTTTTTCTATAAAACCGGTATTTAGCGGTCAACTAGTGTATTTAATTTCACCTGATCTGATCAATGATTATCGTCATTACAAAGAAAATTGGGCAAAGTATCATTTTACAATGTGAATCTTTAAGAACCGATATACAAAGAATTCTTAAGTGCTCAGTTATGCGCATGCTGTAACAGAAATACCGCGGAGAAGACAATTTTGGTTACAAGTATATTTAATTTCACCTGACCTGATCAATGATTATAGTCATTAAAATGAAAATTGTAATGACTTTGATTCTGTAGAAATAACTTTGGATTCACTAGACAAGGACCCGGAGCATGGCAATTTTTTTTCCTTTAAAATGTTCTCCCTCTCTTTTCTTGTCTAAACTATCGAGATAGATATATGAGGAACGCACAATAAAATACCTTCCGTAACTAACGTTAGCTAAGTCTGAGTCCTGGCAAAGCGAAACTGAAAATTGATTGCAGCAGTCATGATAGCCGATAAAAATGAAAACCCCATTAAAGGTTAAGGGAAAACTGAAAGTTTACATGTCAACACGAAGTACAAGAATTTTCTGATCGATCGAAGGTAAATAATCACAAATTTGTATCCCAGATATCATTACGATACCGCAGATCTTCCAGAAGGTCACGGAGTTGTGGAGCTTTTGGTCGAACATCCGGGTCTTGTTAAAAGCACAATTGCATCACTTCTCGCAGCTACAATAGGAAAAAATAATTAAAAAGACGAGTGTATTTTGTTTCCTTACCCACAGACTGTCAAAGATGATGATAGACTCTCACCCTCAACGCTCTTAAGATAACTATAGATAGATGATAATTTAGAACATAAAAAATCAATGTTTAAGCTTCACGTACAGTGCCATTTTTTGCTGCTAGGGGTTTATCATACTAGAAATGCAGAATTTTTTTGGTATTCGGAAAAAATGTTAGGAGCTTTATGGTTACTTTAAGCTTAAATGCAGGCTATCTTTACCCTGTGGATCACGAAGGAAAATCGATGCAAATTTTTTGTGGTAATACACTTAAACATTAAGGGTGTGTTTTTAGTTGTCTTAGCGGCCACACAATGGTCTGTAGTAAAAAAGAACTGTTGAGATATCATTAACTAGAAGTAAAATATCAGCCCGAAATAAATAATACCATGAATTTTTTGCAGCGAAAAGTTGTAATGTTCAACGTACCTCTGCCAGCCCTTCTTCCACGTCACAGCTCTTTATCAATTCATTCAACAAAAAAGCAAATTGAAGGATGTTTTTCCCTAAGATATCTTTTATTTCATGCTCACTTTGTGCAGATTCAGGAAAGTCTCGAGATATCAACTGGGCCGAACCATATCCTCCAAGAACAGCTCTTATCGGCGGCATCTGCGTGACAATTGTAGAACCTATGGATTAGCGTTCATTGATAATGCAGCATTCTAGTTGTTGAATGTTACGGTGGTGAAAGTTAATGGACCCTCTGCACACAACGAAAACAAACATACGCAATATACCATTAATAAAAAACTTGTAAATACAGGAAAGAACTGACTGAATTTGATATAATTTTGATCAAAGTTAGACCACACGGCTTGATGTAGTTCTATTTCAAGTGTTGGAAAGAGAAATTTCACCTAACCTCGTCAGGTAACCCTTGTAGTTGCTCAAGGTAAGATGACTGAAACAAACTACGGTCACTATGTACTCTGCATACAAAGGTTAAGTGAACATTATTCACCTAAATAGAGCCTGTAAAGATAATAGGTGGACTCTTGATGTCGTAACTCGTTTAATGTAATACCTTTTATCGCCCGTATTTTGACCCATAGAAGAACGTTTCATTGGCCGGTATGAATTCGTAGCTTGCGGTGCGCGCATCTGTGCTTTGATAAATACTGATGTTTCGATAACTTACATCCAAACTTCATTAATTTGAGTCGCAAATTTTACGAATCAGTTCAAAATATATCTTACCCTTAGTCCTCTTCCTATCAACACATGGGAAGTTGTTATTTTGTTATGAACAACACCATTTTGTTCCAAGTATTCAATGGCACAAATCAAATCAATGGCCATAACTAAGACAAGGTTCAGGTTTAGAGTGATTCGGTTGTCATTCAAAACCTCAGCCAACGTTTTACTTGACGTAAAGTCGTAGCACAGCAAACTGTAATCGAGATGAATAACATTAATAAGTATTAGGAACATAATTCCTGTACTAACTAAAGGAGCTCTTAGCCCTTAGACAGTGTCCTAATGATAGGATTTTATTTGAAATTTTGTGTCTATACCAACATTTCAGTTATAATTCGTAGAGAGTACTTTTTGGAACTTTAGAATTATTCAAATGTTTCCGCTTTGAAAAATTGGCGGGTCCAATTTCTTTCAGGTTTAAATTGTCCACATTTGAAATCGTACCAAAACAGAATGGAGTAGCCATTAATTAATTGAATTAACTGCAATAGCTAACGGACACTGGTAGGGGAAGGGACAGTCCTATTCTAAGGGAGTGGGGGAGTGACAAATTACCAGTTCATCTAGCTTACAAATAACTTTTCTTTAATCGAAGAAATATTCCCTGCTTGTAATGTAACTTGCATTCTTCAGCTAAAATAAAAAAGAAATTGAAAATTCTGGAATCAGTAATCAATTATGTATTGTCATAATTAACTAACTAAGAAATGATACGATAAAATAAAAAGCTTTTTAAAGCCTTAGTGACCCCCTTTGACTGCGAGAGACGATCATTTCAATTATGGGTTTTTCCTTCAAAAATTGTCAAACCTCAGAATAATGTTAAAAGCGGTGGCTATTATCAAACAAACCCATTTATAGTTGTTAAAAGCTCGAAATGTCTCCTATTTTTCAGTCTATTTGTCCCTTATAGTATCTAAAAATAAACATAACACTGCCCTTTTTTTTTTTCGAAAAAACAGCGCTGGTCTTCATACTTCGAGAATTCCAGCAATATTTGATGATGTTTGGATGCCCTTCGCCATCACCATTGAGTTGCTTGACTATATTTGTCTCCTTCTTCCAAGCTTCCTCCTCGGCTTTTGAAAAATGCTTAATCAATCGCAAAGACGCGTCTTTTTTCTTTCCAGACCACACCACAGCAAAACCCTGAAAGGATTAATAAACCTAGAACTTCAGTTTTTCATGGTCACGTTTCTGGGTAAATAGCAGATACGTATTCTCTAACAATATTTTTGTGTAATAATACGTGTAAAAGTTCTTTTTACTATAGATGGAGTCGAGTGGATTTCTCCTATGACAGATGAAAGGAGGCTCTTTGTCTCTTTAAATTTGGTTTGGGTCTGGGGGTTCAAGGTCATGAGATGATTGGATCGTACGAGCAATAGAAATCATAAAATCAACTAAAAAATAGATCTCCAATATCAATATAAATACAAGTATTTCTCAAATAATTGTCGGTAATGATCACAATCTCCGAAAACCTTGGCTTTTTAATTGGAGATGAGATGAAAATACAAGTATGATCAAAGACAGACATTTCTCATCAGCCATACCACCGAATGTGAGGTCTCATCCGAGAAGATACTTGGTGTTTCAATCAGGTTTAAATCAGTTTCAGGTCTTTCGCATTCTGGTATCTCTTCCACTGGACGAGTAGAAGCGTTTGGAACTGGAGAGAGGCTGAAGGTTGAGAGAGTCGTTGTTTGCGACTCACTTGGGACGATCGTGTTTCCACAAGCTAATGAACCAAGTGAAGTGCCTCGTTGCCCTAAAGGAAGATTTTGTCTTGTGATAACTGACTCCTTTGCCTACTTATTCTATGCACAATAATATTGGGACTTAAATGTTAAACCTTTGTTATCGTAATTACACTTTATATAAAAGATAAGTTTGATTATATTATTAAAACGGGAGATTGAACAGATTCTAGCTATTTAACTGCAGCAGTACGTACCTCATTATCTATTAAAAAATTTGCACCCATTTTCGTCATTTCGTTTGCAAAAAAACAATGTAACTCTTCCTTTCCTATAATTGATGACAATGACCAATCAGAAGACGAAAAGGCCAATCAATGTTTAATCAACCGTCCCTTGCTTTACCTTTGGAATGAGGACAACAACAACAACAACTTTAAGGGGCTGAAAATGGGGAAGCGGGTGACCAAGTGCTCAGTTAATATTTTAGCCCCGCGGACCCCTGGAGTGTCAACAAAAGAAAACCTACAGCCCAAGGGGATGTACACAGTGGCTGAAGAGAAGGGAGTTGGCCCTTTCTCAGGGCCACTGTGAACATTCTTGGGTAGAGAAGAGGGAGTTGGGACTCCTTTCTGACGGAAGGGAGTGGGCCTCCACTAACCTAGCTCCAGGGGGTACAAAGGAGGGAGTTGGCCTCCGAAATTCGAGTCTATGGGGACAAGAGTGTAACGAGAGGAGCAGTTCATCCCCATTCCCGTGTTTATTTGACAAACTGAAACAGAACTTGTTAAGAAAGGTAACAATACAACTTCAAAGGATAACTGGGTAACCATGATCTAAAGTAGCTATTACTTTACTGGCAAAGTGATCTGCCATCAAATGTTTGTGTGAATAGTTAGCCGACATGCTAAACCTAACTAAACTAAACCTAAGTGAGGTACTTAAGCTTCTCTAAGATTTATATAGTTTGTTCAGACAATTAATATCGACGTCTTGGAATCTACATTGTTCATGGAAGCATTAATTGTTAAGTATAATTAAATTGAACGCAAACAGGCCTAGGTAAATGATTAGTGTCTGAAATAAGTAATGTTCCTTCAAAATGACACATCTTAACCACCTTAAATGTGGAATGTAGTTTCCTTAAAAAACAAAATGTCCATTAAGGTAATTTTAATTCAAGTGTACACAGAGAAAACGCAGAAGAGGTACTGATGCGTAGAGTTCCATTAGCGTACATAACAATCTAGGGGCAACACTGAGTTGCCCTAAGATTTTAAACCAAATTCTAGGAGGTGAGAAAAGCCTTTTGGCAAACTGTAACTATTATTATGGCATAAGAGTGAGCGAGAGCTTTTGGGTGGGAGGGAGGGGATAGAAAAAGCAAACTTTTGGTAAAGTGGACGCTGTTGCTTACTTCGTGTGAGAACAAAAGACCGTGGTTGAGTTAGCAAGCACGTATCGAGATGCCAAAGTTCGCTCTGATTGGATGGTTTGAGGATTCTCACGTGGGATCCCACGAGGACAAAGGCTGGAATTCAGCAAAGCTCATAGCTCAAAATAGAAGCAAGGGTTGTTGATTAACTGAAATTTATTTCATATGTTCACTAAATTGTGATGAAACTGAATGGTGCAAGTATGTTTGATAGACAGCCGAATACCTTCACTAGTTTAAACATAGTACACTCGTATTAGTATAGTGAAAAAACATTGGATAAAATGACAATTACCTGGAGATCCTTGCTGTTGATATACACTTCTTTGAAAATAACTTCTCAACCTCTCCTTCTGCTCGGTCACTTTTCTCTTCACCGAGGGAGTAGAAAATGTGTAAAGTATGGGGTTAATAGATGAGTTTACGGGGAGGACAAACACGGCAATCCACACGTAAGCTTGCCTTCCAGGATCATGAAATTTCCCGATAAGTGACAAGATTCCGATTACAATGACAGGCATCCAACAAAGGAAATCAGTCAGAATGATAAACATCATTCTCCTCGCCATTTGCGATTCTCTGTTCATTTTCGTTGACCTGATCTTCTTTGCGACCCTTCTGACAGAGAAGAACATGACTATATACGCAGTGAGGATATAAACAAATGATGCAAAATTTAAAGCAATAAAGATCCCCACAGCATATTCCCACCCAGCTTGACGATCTGACGACAGTTGCAGAGGAAGACAAACTGCAGACTTTCCATAAAATCCCACGTGTCGTGTATCATCATAGAAATAATTCAACCCAAACATTGGAATGACAGATAACAGCGTTCCGAGGATCCATATGACCCCGACAGTAAGGTAAGCAACCGCACGATCCATTCGTCTCATTTTGAAGGGAAAAACAATACAGATTAGTCTATCAGTGGTGATGAGTGTTAACATGAGCACTGACACTTCACTTGATACCATAGACAGCACTCCAGTCAATGCACACGTTATTCCTGATCTCCACTTGATGTCATGTTTAAAGTACTCGCCTTGCCATTGTACGTCTTTCACAGCAATGATAAGCAGATAGATGCCCATTAAAAGATCTGAAGTCGCAAGGTTCGTTAAAAGAAATGAATGCATTTTGTTATCTTCCTTCACGACTGCTCGCATTAAAATGACGAAAAGATTTCCAACAAGAGCAGACAGCCCTAGAATCCAAATACACACTTGGACAGCTTTGTTTTTCATCAGATCAGAACAGCTAGAAAATTCATCTTTCGGTGAAATACATCGGACACCAGGGGCTGCTTTTTCGGCATAACAACACAGAATGAATTCGTCGAGGAGGCTGAAAAGACAATTTTGGAGTTGTTTTCTATACATTCCATACATCCATACAGTTTCCATACACAAACTGTTACTCATCATTGGAAATGATCACCAATATGACCTTTGTCAATAATAAAATCAAAATGCATGTGCTTCGAATTTTAGCCATAGAGAGATGCGGCTTTTAAAGTCCCTATCATCACCCCCAGAGGTTTATATATATTTCGATTCTTTGCGTTATCAGGATTAATCTCCGAAAAAATGTTTTGCAATTGATTAAATATTTCCGAGATATGCCGCCTCAAAGTTAATCTTTTGGCCACGCCCTTTTGACTTGGCCGGGAGAGAATTACTGGGCCGAGCCTACTACCTCCCCAACATTCATTGACAGCAAAAACGAATGTTAACTTCTTCTATAAGAACATATGTCTACTGCTGTAAAATGATGTGAAAATGCCGACTCGTTGCGTGGTCGCTGGTTGCACAAATACACCAGATTCGTCTAAAGGCATATTCCTCCATATAATACCCTTATATGGCGATGATCGCCGTGAAGCTAGGTCAAGAAGAAAGCAGTAGATCGACTCTGTGAGGAGAAAGCGCGCCAAGTTTGAACCTTCAGCAACATCTGTGATATGCGCTCGTAATTTTTCGCCTGAAGACTACTGTCAGCGATTCGATTTTATAAAGACCCATCCTCAAATTGTAAAAGACCACATTGGGACGTCTGCTATTCCGCGTATATACGCCTGCGATGAAAATGAAACACGCGATATGTCTGATCGAAGTCGCCGAAAGGTAAGAAATTATATTAAAGTAGTGCCTGGTCTTTTTTGTCGATCGTGAGGTGAAGTTGTATTTTATTAATGGAAATTAGATCGTACGAGATGCAATAGAATCGCACAAGAACAGAGAAAGAGAAGAAATCGAAAAATGCGAAGTTGAAATTGAAGTGCCTCCTGACCCACCTGTTGATACAGGAACACCATCGATCATGGAGCGTAATCTTCGGAATTTTGTGTCGAATCCATAGATATGTTAATATTCTCTTTATAATGTGCTTTTAAATGGGTAAATATCTCAGAAAACAACAAGAAAGTCGTAAAAGTCTCAAGTACATGTAGCTTCGCGTAGTCAAGTGAATGTAGGCACATCGATCGAAAGACGTTCTGGCTGTGACGTCATAAGGGACTTTTAGTTACCAGTATTAACTTCGCCCGCCAAATAAAAAGGGCGTGGCCAAAGGACGAACTTTGAGGCGGCATATCTCGGGGAATATTTAATCAATCTAAAAAAATTTTTTTTTGGAGATTAATCCTGATAACGCAAAGAATGGAAATATATAGAAACCTCTGGGGGTGAATAGGGACTTTAACTATAACCGAACCCTTTTGAAAGTTAAGGTAAGGTTTATAGTCTGAAAGAAACCTAGCCTGCAATACTGAAAAAATTCAAGCTTCGTAACTCAGTTGTTAGTGGTGCCCAACTAGTAAACAGAAAGCACAGGTTTGAATTACGTTGAAGCCTGAATTTTTTTCAGACTTCATTTCCACGATTTCTTTAATTGCAGTTCATCTACGGGGATCGTTTCTTTACATGTATTTCATCCGCGAGTCAACATCTGATTCACTTTATTGAATTGAGTTTTTATTAATCCACGTAACAAGGACTCACATTTCGTGTAGACTGCGGAGTTCATTAAAGGCGTCAGGTGCAAAGTCTCTCAAACTGATGGAGTTGTTCTGTAAATCTCTAAAACAAAGATATATTTGTTTAAAATAATATTAAGATATGAATAGAAAATTCAAAAGGGAGAAACAATGAAGAAACCTAAACTACGAACAAAATTGCTAATATATTTAATAACCTGGAATTTGTCATGGTGATGTAGGAGCAGTTTTATTATCATCATATGTTTGCATTTTTGTACATAATTCAAATCAAAACATTAGGTCGCCATCGAAGTTCTAAGAGCAATTGTAATTCTTACAATTTTTCCAGAGAGGACAGCCCAGCAAATGTCTTGGAAGTCAATATTTTTATTTTGTTGTGGTGTAGAGAACTGAGACAAAAAATAATCTGGTAAGCAAATGATTTCAGTACAAACCGTTAGTGCTACGTATATAATGAAGTTTTATTTGTTGAATAGCATAACCCGAACAACTATATAGATACCAAATAAAATCATCTCCGACAAAATGGCATTTTTCACTTGGTGGATGCTCATTTTTGAAGTCATAAAAGCATTATTAATAGAAAATATGATAATGGTAACAATATTAGTAAATAATGATAAACAAACAAAACAACAGAAAACGAAATTTCATAAGCAAGAAAATCAACGAAAAACATATTTTGAAACGCAGACAAATTTTGAAACAAAAACAAATTTATAGAGCGGCTCATTTCACTTACAGTACTTTAAGTCTTGATAAGCCCAAGAAGGTATTATCAGGTAGCTCCTCCAGTAAATTATTTTGAAGATATCTGCCGAATAATTGGCAGATCAATATAGAGTTTTAAGAAAAATAAAACAATTGAAAAAAACCAAAACTCAGACCCAACAGAAATAAACAAATTAATAACCAGGTCACTATGATTACCGACTAAGGAGTTTTCGGGACAACTTACAAGTATTGTAGCTTGCGGGCACCCTTAAAAGCATCCCTATCAATAGCAGTTATCCGGTTTTCTCGGAGGCTCCTATGAAAAAAGGAAAATATTTAGATTCAAGGTGCACTATTGTTGGGCCGTGCAGTCGATAATATTTATTGCATGTTCTCCCCCTCCCCTTCATAAATAATGACTGGACGCTAAATTGTTGAAAATATATTCTTCAAAATACTGATGGCATTTCTAATTGAGAATGAGGGCGCCACAAATAAGCTAAAAGACCCTCCGAGTTTAAGCTTCGCTTAATCTACTAATTTTCTATGGCAATCCTGCCTTAGAGAAAGTCTGCTTACAAAGTTGTCAAAGCCATCAGGGAAGCCAGCGCTGTTGAAGATATTTCCTCCAACAAGTTTAGACTTAAGTCCCTAAATAAGCACAAACAAAGAGAAGACAAAAGGCAGAGGATCAGTACAAGTTTTGTTACGAGTATGTTTTTGGTCTCTTGTTTATTAGTTTTGTATTGTGTTTGATCATTTGTTTGTTCTTTATTTATCATACGTACAAAGTCTGAAGATTTGACGCATTATGGAAAATTCCACCTGATAAAGTCCTTATGAAATTTCCTTGAAGCTTCCTAGAAAAGAATTATATGATTATTCTTTTTAATGTTCTTTAAAAGCAAGAGCTAATTATGACGGCTTTCATTTCATACAGACTTTTCAGCTCTAGTTAGCAGGCTGTACAGTGAAATACAGCCCGGTAAACTGACCATTCATAATGCACGTACTGACTGAAAGATGACAAGATGAACGCACTTACAAAGAACGCAATGAAACAGCGTCTTCAAATGCACGTTTATTGATTTTGAAGAGGCGGTTTTCACTCAAGTCCCTGCAGAGAGGCCCAACAAAAGATACACGTTTTGACTTGGTTTGTCTTAACTCATCACTGTTTACAATACCTTAAACAATTCAACCCTTGTATTTTAAATTTCATATTATCTGAGGTAGATCCTCGTATGAAGAGCAGCCTTCAGAGCCTCCCATCATGTTTTTTCTTCAGTTGAAAAATAAACTAGATATCCCGGTCAAACGTATCTCTATTTTCATGTTCTTCATTTTTCATCAAAGAAGTGATAAAAAAGTGATCCTCCACCCCCTCTCCCATTCCCGGTTATCACCCGTATGTCAGCCAACATTAATTTAACTCGTTGTCATTTAAGGAATACATCAGTTTGTGCGACTCTAATTACCACTCTTTAGATTTATCAAGTAGAACTCATAAAAATAAATAATCAAGTCCCATTCCGAAATATCAGCATTTCCTTAGAGTGTACTTACAAGTAAGTCAACATCGAAAGGCCAGAGAACTGATTCGTGCGTAAAAACGAAATCTTATTTTTCTGGAACAACCTGCCGTGAAACAAATGACAGCTTAAAATCAAGTTATAAACAAACATTGCGACAAGGATGCAGTGACTACAAGGTAAAAATATGATAAGCTTCATCATTATAACACAAGTACCCTTACTAAGATATCAATGGGTATTTTTTAATGTTCCAGGATTAAAAGGGAAAAATGTTTACCTGCAATTTTCCTCCATAAGCGGAAAATAGATTTTCATACGTTAAGATAGCTTTAACATTTGTTTAATCTCTGATTTCTTAACTTCTATTTTAAGATGAAAGCACCAAACCGCTTGCGGAGCACTTCATATCTTACATGACAGCTGTATTAGATGGTATTTTTCCTGGTATGGCCTTCAACTCTCTTCCTTTTTTAGCTGTAATCACCATGTCATGACGCTTGGATGAAATGATACTACATTCACAGCTAGAGGGGCAACCTGGTGAGCGAAATTTAGGCTACTTTAGAGGAACAAGAAGCAGACTATCAATTCGAGGGTATAAAGTCTGCACGCAAAACACGTTCAATAAACTTTTCTGCCATTTTTAGTACAACCCCAATAACATTGAGAAGGATAAAGCGAGAAAATCTATCCGCAGCGAGCATCTCTCAGTAACGTCACGACTCAAAGTCGTGTCCAGGTTTGACTGAAACGAGAGGGCCTCGGGGCTCCACTGGTTCAAATCATTATCTTTTGACTCCACGTTACCTTCAAAGCTGACGCAGTTTGAATTCCCATGGAGGGCTATAGGAGGAAAACAAATTATCGTCAAGTACTATTCTTCTCTATTTACTTTCTTGACCTTAATTTTGCTACAAAGGGGGCAGACTAGAAGGTGGCGAACTTGAAATTGTTTCCTATTAAACCCGTCGAAGCGACAAATCAGTGAATTTAAATATATGAAAATCATAAATGTGTAGTAGGGTTTTACTAAAACCAGCTCCCAGTTGGCTTGTTAGCTCAGTTAGTGGAGCACTGCACCTGTGTCGCAAAGGTAACGGATTCAAATCCCATGCGAGCCTGAATTTTTTCAGGCCTTATTTTCACTACTACGTAAGTAGTGTTCATTAGTACGAGGATCACTTTCATACATTTCATGAAACCGCAGGGAACATATATGATTTTCATTTATTCAAATTCGCTGAAACATCATTGTAGTGTATCGCCCTTCCAGTCAAAGAGTGTTGGATTTTCTTGACCAGTACAACACAACTGTTTGTATGAATTCTAAAGATGATAAACAGTGCTAAATAATGCTATATAGTGCTATATATAGTGCTATATAATAGGCGATTTCAACCTTGACCTTCTTCCTTATGATCAGCATCCACCCTCTCAAGAATTTATGGATTATTTATTTATTTTTTTTTTACACATGCTCCTCCCATTTTTAGCGAGGCTCCCTCGCATTACTGCTTATTCTGCCACCCTTATCGATATCATTTTTTCAAATCAGGTTACTCGTAACTTTTACAACGCCATCATCCTTAACGATAGCTCGGACCACTTGCCTGTTTTTGCTGTTTTAAAACAAGAACACTTACCCTGTAAACTACGAAATGGAAAAATTTTACGTGATAAAAGGAATTCGGAAAGGTTTCAGACGATACTTTCGGAAATTAATTGGTGTTTGAAGTGATCAAGATCCTAACAGCTTACACAATGCTTTCTCCTCTGAATTCAGCAGACTCTTTTATCTTTTCATTTCCACTTACGCCAGTTAAGGGTAGAAAGGTGTATAACAGAGCCCTATGATTGACTAATCTCAATATGAAAGAAAAACAAGTTGTCTGAAAAAATTTTTAATTGTAAAATAAATAATCTCATCTAATTAGAATTGCAAAACGAAGTTATTATGGCGAGAATTTTGAGGAAACAAAGAATGACTTAAAGAAGACGTGGAAGCTCATTTATGAGATTAGTAACAAAATAGTTTGTCGGCAGCAGCTTCCAAAGTCACTTAAAGTCGACAATCGAAGAATCTCTGAACCTTTTAGATCGCAGAAAGCTAATTTTAGGTTTTTTATAAATATTGTGGACAGAAGACATGTTATTTGGCACGTTTATCGATTATCCTATGATTTCCACAACATTCTTGCTTAGTCCTTTAGGAAAGTTCTAGTAGTTCCGGCTTGAGTACGTGACGTCTTCTTGTAGAAACTCGACTTGTTTACCGTAAATTCTGGAAAATTCTAGGATGTAATGTTACTAAAAATAGTCGTGTTGTAAATCTGTAGAATCTTCTAGAAAGATTGTAAGGAACTGTTTAAAAAGGTGCAGTAGGTTGTTGTGTTTTAGAGGAAAAAGAAGAAAAAGATAAAGGAAATAAAGGAGTTAGTGAAAACAATTCATTTCAAGGTTTATCACGAAACCATATTGGTCGGAATTTAGTTGACAAGATACCAGCAGCAGCCTTCTCTTTTAATTCTTTTTTCGGGGACAGAATTGCCGAAGAAGTCATTTTAAAACCCACTATTATCAAAGAAATAAGAGACGTTAATATTTTTTACTTCAGGAAAAGCTCTAGGCCATGATAATATCCCTATGCATCTGATCAAGAGCATGCTTTCGTTCATCTCTGCACCTCTCGTGTATGTCTATAACTTGTTGCTCACAACCGGTGTGTTTCCATATAAACTCCAGGTTGCAAAGTAATCTCAGTCTTTAAAGGTGAACATGAAAAGCTTTCTTGCCACAGACCCATGACTCTTTTACCTAACTTCATAAAATTTTTTGAAAGGATCATGTATAATTGCCTGACTGAGTTCGCCGAGCGAAATCTTTTATTCTATCAATATGGATTTCGGAAGAATCACTCCACATCAAAAAAAAAAAACATGCTTGTTTATCTTTTTGATGAAATAACCTCCGCTATTGATCAAAATCAAATAAAACGTGTATTGTATTGCATCGTTCTTCTCATCATCTCCATCTATCACAACAATCGCCAATTAGTCTGTCTCTCAATTTGCCAAACGGTCATGTATTGGTTTTTTGGGAGGGTCTTTTAATTTGCGCTTGAATTTCATACGACCCTTACCTTCTTCTGATGTGTAGTGCATCTTGAAACCGGAACTTGTAACTTTGTCGTTGCTTAGAAACTTAATTACCATAAAATTTGATGATGACTCAAGGAAGGCTGGAAATCGCAGGCCACAATATCTCCCCAGAAATTTTCTTGTTCTAGCCTCATATCCATCATAAATCTCAATGTAATCATTGTAACAAGTTGGGTGATCTTCTAATTGGAATTCCAAGAACCGTAGCTTTATTATATTTTCTGGAGGAACCTTTATAGTCCAGTGACAGAGAGTCAGAGGAGGATAATAACCAGGGAAGTGTGGAGAGAAAATAAACCCCGCTGAATTGGTGAAGTCTCCATTGCACTCTAAAGGACAACGAGATAAAAGATGTTGTGTTAACCATATAAAGCTATTGAAGGTGGTGGTGTTAACCTCAAAGGGACAGTCATAACGTTTCATAAATATGCCTTTGAAATGAAACACTGCGTAAAATAGGAAATAGCTATACTATGAGAAACTTTTTTAGTCAAACACGACAGATAAAAATTTTATATTAAATAGTAGGCACTAAGAATAGAGAAGAGAGAAAAAAACACGTGCAGGAGAATAAGAAGAAAAGTACAGCATCATTTACCTTGCGTTGCCTTAAGTGGGACGGGATGACAGTATCCAGGCTGTACTTGCAAACCCCTTACACCAACAAAACCAGGGTGTCTACCCAAATCCGCTTCAAAAGAAACCTGCAAATGTAACCACTCGCTAACTGAATATCATAAAATATAAAGGCAAGTTATAGTATTTAATGAAAGATGGCAGCTGTAGGAAACAATTTAAGTACACGTAGTTACTTGACGCATATTGTTGAGACAGCTAAATATTTTGCCTCGGCGTCAACGTGATCATCAGAGAAATGTGACAATAGTTGCGACTTGAAATTTAAAACTTATCATTGGTTTGGACAATCAGTTATTGGCATTGAACAATATTTTGTGGCATTAAATATGTTCTAGCCGCAGTAGTCACTACTGATTTCCCTTTTTAAAGTTTATCATTCTAAAATAAACTGAAAAAAAAAAGACAGGAGCCTCAATTCAGGACAATGATCAAGGACGACAACCGTATACATTATACCCTCAATTTTTACACCCCCAAAGAGATGATAAAAGAATTTTTATTTTCAGTCTGACATTCAGTACTATCCAGTAATTTACTTCCATTGTAAGCTCTACGGGCATCAGTAATGATGTCGTGCTCTTACTCACTCTGTATTCAGTTATACTAGGCAGGGCTACTCTGCCATACTTCCATATGCCTTCTGTGTTGTTAGACTCGTTTGCTGCCCACATCAACCTTCTCGTATGGTTGGCAAGGTCCATTTGTTGAAAAAAACGAAGGAAGCGTAATCCAGAGCCTTGTATGATATACCTAAATAATACACAGATGCTATGTGCATTATAAGATCGTTTATAAAACGGACTTTCGAACACGGATACTCGTCGAGATGAAGATGTTCGGTTTGCTGATACAATGCTGCGGACACCTGTGGATTGAAATAGGATTTGTGGTTTCTTATTTTAGTGTAGACCGTCCTTAGCTTTGGTTGCCATGGGATATGAAGCTATCAGCCAAACTATCAACATAACAATGAAAAATGTCAGTAAAGGGTAGCCAATGAATATCGCTACCAGAGATACAAGTGTGAACGCCATATTTGTATGAAATAATAACTTTCAAAAGTTACTCGTAGTTAGAGAGGTGCGGAATTCACATCCGGACCAAGTCCTGGTTTAGTCTTTATATACCATGATACGAACAGCTGTTAACAGAAAGGTTGTCAGAAAAAGCCCAAGGGCGCGCGACAAATCCGAAGGGCATTATGGGTAGTTTTCAGGTCACGTTTTCTTGACCTCGCTGTAAGGAACAGGCCTAGGAATAATGGATTTTGATGAATTTATGTTTTTTTTTTTGGAAAAGCTGAATTTTAGTTCCAAAATAACTTATAAAAAATAGAAAGAAGAGCAAATTGACCTTGATGAACAAAAGCGATGTAAACTCAACGAGAGCGAATTCGAAGTCGCCTAAAGAAGAAATGATAATAGTGTATATTTTTGTTATTGTTCCTCTCGCATTCACGCGCATGTTGGTATTTATACCTTGTTCATTAGCCCTTTTGTCCATATTTATTTGTTTCACCTATCAAAATTCATTGAATACCGGATACCCAGATCACCTTTCAAGATTGTTGCATGCACTTTGTCCTTTTTCCGATAGTCTATTTATGCACCGACCTTCACTGTCCGTACACGTTGCAGGTCTTTGAATATTGACATGTCCAGTGAAACCATACGTAAACTGGGACCAAGGAACAATGGCATTCATCAAATCCTCACCACAGCCATGCGACATCCACGTTATCACGTAATAATCGAGAAAATGGTTGAATATGTTAACGTGGCTGATAATACCGATGAATTCACCGGCTTGTGAGTCTAATTTTGCCTGATCTTTTGTTAGTCCAACCACAAATTCACCTTGACCTGTTGAAAAAGAGTATAGGTACGGTTTGGTTTTACCGTTATCTATTATTTTTAAGTAAATGGCCTTATTTTCAATTTTCCTCACGATCGATTGTGCCTTTTGTCATGAGATTTTCGTGGGCTGGATCCTGGGCTTAGCCAGGGTTTTACCGGAGGTATTCAAGGTTGTTTTATTATTACGTTCATATTGACTGAGTGGGAGGAACGAACGGGAAAAGATTTGGATGAAGGTCACGACGGACGAACCGAACGCAGTATTATATTTCACGGTCATTACCTGGAATGTTTTCCCCTGGGGAAAATCCTTTCCCTGAAAGCTGTCGTTGGTCAAAGTAGAAGTGCAATATTCCATTTGGGGACTTCCACGCCAGGCAGATATGATGCCACTTACCGTCGTTTGCTTTGACACTTGTCTTTGTCCTATAAAGTATGCAATGATGAAAATGGAAACTGTTATCTAGAGGCGTAATTCTCTACCTTATATTCGTGGATACCTAGTACTGCTTGTTCATGCATTTGTTGTCAACCTGAGATCAATAAAGTAAGCCTTAGTATACCATACTATTACAAGTAACTGTCATGAAGACCTAATGGACTTTACTCCTTGTTTCATCCGGCTTTTTCTACATTCTTCTATCTTTAGGTATGCATCGAAATTACCCACAGGAGGCTGCCACAGAAACCGCGTTTTGTTCTCAGTATCCTACCCATTCCCTCGGCATCATAAGTGTAAGTTACAAAACGTCAAACCAGATCCTTCGTGAAATTAAAACTCATTCGAGCATTCAAGTCTAAAATAAGCTCTCCTAGAGATTAGAATGGTCATTCCAACTTAGAGATCATCTCAGCTCGTGCGGGTTAATGCCAAAGCATTAAAGTTGCCAGTATCATACATGAAAAGTAGAAACACACACCAATTGATTGTAAGTCTCGGTCAGTAACCCAAATAGGAAATGAAGACTTACAATCGGTATTTCTTTCCCGAGTTACATAATGTCATTGTCTCTGTGATTTGGAGATCAAAAGCTCATTCCCATTCCAACCTTTTCCAGCTTAGTCGAGACAATTTTAAGACATTCTATTTCACTTATGTTTCTTTCCTTATTGTGTAGATTGTAGTTAACAAAGAAAGGCGAACTCCTCTTCAAGGAGACTGCAGATTCAAAAGGTACCGGAATCGATTGACCATTTGTAAAACTGTAGCCTTGGTCATCAAAGATGAAAGGTGGAAACGTACGATTTTGCCTCGCCGATGTAGACATAGAATCCTCTGTAGTCAAATAGTGCAATCGCAGTGACATATTTCCCTTTGTTTTCATAGCGTACTCTGTACCATAGTGGAGTGCCTGCGCTGTTGTTATCTGACGATTTCATCCAGAGACAGACGGTGAAAGCCAAGAGATCAGGCAAATCAGTTATGTTGACATAGCCACCATGGTTAGCGGTAAAGTTCAATTGATAATTGCTTTCTTTCTCAACGCCTACAAGTAAGTAAACGAGAAAATTGTCATCTTTAGGTAGAAAATATTTCTAAACAAGGAAAGTCATAAAGAAGGAGAAGGGTAAAAAAAAGAGAAAAAAGAAAGAAATATCCCAAGTTTGCATGCAGGTAGAACTCCACAAAAATTCTTATTTTTGTGAAAGTTTTTCATGGTTCATAGTATACACCACTCCTCTACCATATGCAACTTAAAAACGTGAATTAAAAATAAAAAAACTTTGTATTAACCTTGGTTAATATGGGTTAATCTTCCATCTACATTTCTCTTCGTTTGTTCCCATGGTGTAGTGCTCGTCTTGGAATTCACCCATCCACAAAAGCCTTGACGAAACTCCAAACAGCCGCCGTTAACTTGAAGTAATGAAAAACAAAACAACCTTTCAATCTATTGAAGTGACGTTTATGCAACGAAGAGGAAATATATTGAAAAGAAAATGGAGGCGTGGATAAATAGATATGCGGAAGAAGGAAGAAGTGAAAGCACTGAGGAAAGGAAAAAAAAGGGTTTCCAAAGAAGAGTGGAAAAATCATAACTAACTGAGCGATGGCTGGATGGTGGATTGATTGATAGATGGATGGGTGGAAGGATGGATGGATTGAGATATGGACAGAAATATGAAGGAATGATAGAATGTGTTCAATCAGTTGTAACTGTCTCTCAAGAGTATTGAAACTATTTTAGCCTCTTTACTCACAGGCACACTGGCTCCACTTTGAAAATTTGTCAACTGAAGAGCTTTGGCACCTCAATGTTTCTTTACCCATGCAGGAATTGCGTTGCTTGTTGTTGTGTGAAAAAGAGAATTCGCAGCAATATCCATCGATGGTACTTTGTACTGGACACAAAGCTCTTGTCGGTCCTAAGTAATACAGAGGTCGAAGGAATATCTACCTTAGTTTTGTTATCATCATCATCATCATTATCATCATCATTATCTTCATAAATCAAGACAGGAAATAAAACTTACTGTATAATTTGAAAACATCCCCTGGTGACAGCGTGCGTAAAAACACAGACAAATCCCTTAGTGAGCCATGCAGTAGTTCCCCTGTGTCTTTCTTTAGACCAATTTCATATGTTTTGTGATTGGTCAGCTTAAGATCGATATCCGCTCCTGTATACGTGGAAGTTATTTCTCCCGAATTTTGTCCATCAATGTAAAGTTTTCCTTTGAGGTCTTGGCGGTTCCAAATAAATATCAAGTGCATCCATTCATTTTTGCGAATATCTCTTTGAGAAAATGGAAATAGGAAATTTATTGATCATTGCATATGCAACCTTTTTTAACTGTCTATCATTTTAATTTATTCGATTCATTTTGAAATTGATCCCTGACATATCGCTTAATCTGATTGCATCTCAGTCAACCAATATGTGATTTTGACTTCCTATCTACACGTCCTTTCAAAATCGTAAATCTTGAATCTGAAGGCAGGTTGATTCCTTGTGCATCCTGAGGCGCTTATCAGCCAACTCAGGATTAGTATCTGTAGTTTAAAAGAGCTGTATTGACATTTTCCGCTAAGTGACAATAAAAAACAAGCGAGGCTTGAATTTAAAAGCAAGAATTAAAAGCATTCAGTGCGATTTCCAATTCCGGTACTCAAATTAAAATAGTGACAGAAGAATGTGAGAGAAAAACTCTTCCTTTCAATTGACAGGCTTTGAAAATCCTTTGCACGTCGCTTTTGGGGTCCTTGAAGAACATAGAAACGGAACACCCAAAAAAGGCCAAAACAATTTAGCAGTTTAATAAACAAGTAAATTGAAGGTAAGAAAGAAAGGAACAAATAGACAGCTTAAAAAACCAAAAGATATACAAACCCGGAACTAGACATAAGTAACAGGTCTTGTACATCTCCCCCTCGTCGCAATGTAACATGCACCCGGCTGTCATATACATACAGTCTGAATTGAAAGGGTGCAGACCAGTCAGATAAAATGTGTTGCAAGGAGTAAATGTCTTGAAGATGAAAACGGACCGATATACTGAAGTTGCTTTTACGTATGTTAATTGCTGGAATATCGGCATAACCAGCTTGGCCGTCGAGGTGAAGAGATGTTATTCCATTTTCAGTTTTGTAAACAGCCGTACCTTGTAGCCTACGAAGGAAAGCATTAGTCAAATCAAGCTTACACCTCTCCCTGTTAGGATGTCAGTTGGCTGAAAATATGTTTGTAAATTTACAAAACACTCTTACAGATCCTGTCATTTAAAAAAACTTGATAATTTTAAATTATTTTCTATCCCTTTTAACTTACACCATTTAGAATAGTGGCATTTTGACGTGTTATAAATTATGATAACTAAGTGTTCCATCAACGTGGTAATACAGAACCAGTGCACTGGACTCACAGATTATGCATTTTCACAAGTAGGATGCGTGACTTTCTCACCCAAGGTAAGAAATGTAGATATGTGTTATTTACGGTTACCTCAATCGCAATCAATTTGTTACTTTAAATTGAATCCCCCTACAAAACTAAGTAGAAAATAGTTCTTTGCACGCATGATACCTTACGTCCTTATCAGTGCCATCTAGTTTCCAAAAATAACCAGAATTCAATGGATTTTCACCGTAGTCATTGCTTTCCTCTGCGAGAGAAAAAAATATTTTTATGAATAAGATTTAAATTGATAATTATTTGAGTAAAAACCAATTTCTTCCCACTAATTTTAATGTTTTTTTTTTTTAACTTCAGTAAAAGAAACTAATGATCATAATACAAGGCTTTCTTCTAGAATGACTTACACTCTGCCAAAGATGTCATGTATTCGATTTTATTTCGAAAAGCACATGGAATGAATAATGCGCACACTTGCGCATGCTTACAAGAACCGACCGCATACACTACAAAAGACAAGAACAAACTATGGTATTTTTAATATTATATATCAAGGCGCTAAGGTTTGGAATGCAATCAGTGATGACATTAAGCTTCTATCACTTAAACAATTTAATAAAAAGTTAAATTCAAGTATTCTTGCAACTTACTAGCTGACTTAATTATACCATGCATTTTCTTTCTTCCGTTAGTTAATCTGCCTATACATACTGTATTTTCTTGCTTATTTTCGCTAATTTGTATTTTTAGCTTGTAACTAGTTTTTTGTTTCTGTGTTTCTGTGTTTATTGTATGTGTTACTTTAAGAAGTCTTAAGTACCTGGCACCGTTAGTCATTACAGTATTTAAAATCCTAAGGATTGCTGCTCAATTTTAGCCTGGTGGTTATTTTGGGCAGCCATGCACTTTATTTTATTTGTTTTATTACTTTTTTGTAATGTAAATTTAATTTAATTCAGGGTGCAAATAAAGTTGTTGTTGTAGAACAGCACCGTAATTCCTCGCGTTACATACCATTGCAGCCATTACTTCTTCATGGATGATTGCGCAGCTTAAAACCGGTAAACTTTTAAGTCAGGGGAAAACGGGAGTTCTTTGAATAAATTACACTTTTTTTATTTCATTTTGGATAAATTAAAGATAAAATCATGCCAAAGCTGACATTATAAAGCATTTGAAATGGTTATAAAAATATCAAGACAATAGCCATCTTTGAAACGTCACCACCAGCAATGTAGTAGCGAAGTTCACCAAAGCCTATCCATAGAAATAACATATGACGCACAGTTGAAGTGCAACGAAACTTCAAGAAAAAAAATCCTCAAACAAATCTTTATAATAACTCAAGAATACCGAAACAAATTATAAAGGCTACTGCGTCCTAAGATGTAGTCTGTCGTAATGTGCAACAAACCTTTCCAGGGTATAATTTCACAACTGTCAGTCTGAAATACAACATCATCTAAAGCAATTGTCGCCATTTTTAAAGACTTCCATCCATGGAATAAAACCTGTTAAGCCAAAAGAAATGACCGTTAGGACCTCTACTAGAAGTAACCTGGACTGAATTTGAATCTGCTTTACTTACTTGATAGGAAACTGAAAATGAAATGATGGGTAAACGAGCTAAGGTCCAGATTCCAGCTTTAGTAGAGGTCAACAATGTCCTATTTCTCTTCTTAGAGATTACAGTCACTTGAAGAGAAGCAGGTGTTCCTCGACTAATGTAATACCAAAACTGCAAACACTTCCAACCCGCCCTGGCGGAGATACGTGGGCTTGTTAAACTTCCGTAACATCCTGCCCCTTCGTCGGCCAGACTTGAACAGCCCTTGACATAAGTAAAACCTCCTTTAAAGAATAGGACCAAAATATTGCACTCATTTTTTTGAGCAAATATTATGCATCAATATCATTTATAACTATTGACCTACCACCAGTGCCTTGCCAGTCCCTTAACGAGAATCTCAAAGGGAAAAACTTGCTTATAAGCCATGTTCCGCTGGGCGTCCAATTACAATGATCTTGCTCAAATAGGCATCCAGGGTTTTCTTTAAAAGTAAAAAAAAAAAAAGAGAGAGAGAGAGAGGAATACGTTGTGTAGCCTTAAATCTTATAAATTGTAAGAACTGTTCCATTTTGACGAACAAAAATTAACGATAATATGAAATGTTTTTTGCATACTTGATCTAGGAGATGTTGTACGGTACATGTGAAGCGCAACTTAAAAACCGAAACCTTACACCCAGTAAGCATCCTGTTTGTAAGTAAGTCGTTAGATTTATCTTGGATAATTTTATAGAATACATAAAATAAGTACTCGCGTTGTAAATCATTAAATGTCTTGGTGTGATAACAGTTTATCAAGTTAAGGAACATAGGGTGAAATAGAAGGCTGACCATTTCCATATACGGTTTGACAATTTTCTCCTTCCAGGATGAGAAGATCATCCAATGCTATGTCGCCATAAACACCATTTCCACGGACACCCTCTATTACAATCTACAGAAGAGATAATTGTGAGAGCAATTTTCAGGATTTTAATAAATAAAATTCTTCGCCATCGATTGTTAAACCCATCGTTGCTAAAGTTGATATATAGTAGAGCTAGCTTAATAATGTGAGTTTGTATTCCAAGGAAAAAGTTAGACCATCCCTGTTTATTATAACTAATGACGGAAGTTTCCTTTGAAAGATGAACAGTAGTAGCGAAACTCAGACCTTAAAGCTGTTAAAAATGTCTTTGTATCCAACTTGACCAAAAAGCCAATCAGGACCTTGCTGGCCAGTTAGACTCCACATTATCATCGTTGAGTCATTCCTTAGGATCAATACATTTAAGCTGCCAACATCTTTTCCTTTCATGTGATACCAAAACTGCACACATGCTGTTATTCCAGCGGCAATAGCATGACTAGTCAGGACAGCAGTGTCACCAGTATCATAGTCTGATGCCTCCAGATATATGTACCTTCCTATTAAAAAAAAAATGGAATTCAAATAAAATAATTATAAAGTAACTGCAAAGGTGATTACAGCTAAGTTTCTTCTCAGCAGTCCCCACCTTCAGGTCGATATGTGCTATGATCATAGTCCGGTCCAGTATTCTTCGTGGGTGTTGAACCTGAGCCAATACTCCATCGAACTTTAGAATCTTCTGTCAATACACAGAGGCCATCCTGGAAGTCGCACTTAGCTAAATAGGACATTATAGATACATTATAGATAGATCTACGATTATAGATATAAGACATTGTACAACAACAAATAAAAAAGATGTGGAAACAGGGAAATTTTCGAGGGCTAAAAGGATTAAACTTTGTACCAGTGGTTGCTTTCAAGGTGGGCTGTCTGGCCTAGCGCGATTGGAAGGGAAATTCAGAATACAGCGAGGAGTCGCTTTGGTCTTAACACTTAATACTTAGGTAAAGACTACACCGCTGTCAAGATCAGCAGAGTAGGAGTTGAACATATAGAATATCGAGCTTTGCTTTGACCCCTTCTTAACTGGAAATATATCACAGAATTCAAATCATATGTATTTGTTTATTTGTTTGTTCTTTGGCGACAGCATGGCATTGCTGGTAGACTTAAACAAGTGCAATTTATTCTTAATCGTGAGCAGGTGTAGCAATGACTTACAACAGTCAGTTGTATTTCAAACAGTTTCTTAAGAGAAACTCTCCCTCACGCACGTAAGAAAACTGCCTTGTACAATGTAATTGGTTGTTGGCATCCCTCCGCGAAAACCCTGGCATCTTACCTCTGTTCCCACTACATGCGTGCGGAGATGTGTGGTGAGTGTAGTTAGGTTTTGCACACCCTAAATCAAGGAGTGAGCAGTTTGAATAACCTGAAATTCGAAAACAGAAAAGGAGCGTAGTTGATACTTAAGTTTTCATATTCATTTTCCACTGGAAATTACTAAGTATGTCAAAGTATTTGTAATTAATTTGTCTCAAATAAATAATGATAGTCACCCAACTTTACGGCACAGGGTGAAAAGACAAATCAGCATCGTCCACCATTCTTTAAGCAAACCTGAATACGCATTAAAGGAAACACTTACCACATATAGATGGTTCATCAGTACCATCCTCACAGTTTCTTTCAAAATTACATGTCAAAGACCATGGAAGGCATTCACCACCGGCGCAGGAAAAACTATTTTTGGGACAGTTTCTTCCTTCTTCAAAATAAATTTATATCAACAGGAAGAAAACAATAACAAGCCCTTTAGCTATTTCTTTGGTAAATCAATGGAAAAAGTTCACAGCCTACGCATGTCTGTAGTAGTAGTAGTAAACCTTTATTAAAAGTGTCAAGAGCCGTCTAGCTAGGGAAAAATCCCTTACTAATTTGGGGACACTAAAAAAGGAAAAAATCTAGGAGTTATTTACAGTAAAAAATGCCAAGAGACCGGGTGCAAAACAAAGAGAAGAGAAGAGGAAAAACGTTTTACAGTACAAACGAATCGTGACTTAAATGGTACGCAAAGTCGTTACTATATAATTCATGGCATAAACCTAGAAAGAGTTTATTATATTATTCATTTCTAGAAAGAGTTGATTGTGGATCAGGCACGAAGTGAGTTAAAACTTGTTTAACTTAAAAACAAACTCCACAAAAACATGACATTTTAAAAGCAGCCTTTGCCTACCACATCTGGATTCATCAGAGTTGTCTTCGCAGTCCCGCTTGGAATCACATAATTCATTTTCATCAAGACATTCTCCAGTTGGACAAATAAACTGAGTAGTAAGGCAATTACAATTTTTTTCATCTGAATTGTCCACGCATGCAGTATCACCATCGCAAACCAATGCTTTGTGAACACATTGTCCATTGTCACACTGAAAGTTATCAGCTGTTCAAGTAAAGTCTGCAGACGAGCACAATACAAACAAGGAACGATCATTTGCATCAAACAATTCAAAACTCCCTATTAGAAATAGCATCAACTCACGTTTCTAATTACAAATAACGTCTTAATTTAAAGTTGGTTCAGTTTTCAAACGAAACTAAATGATTCTTTTCAAATGTAAAACCATTAAAGTGCTACTGCGACGAAATTTTTGCATTTTATTTTCCCAATTTTCTGGTGTTAACATCACATTTAGACCCTAAACTATAAGAATAAGCGTAAGTTTCTCAAATTTGACAACGTTATTCCTTAAAAACAGCGTTGCGAAGAAATTAAAAATTCTTCCACCATTGCTCGAGTAACGCACTGGAGAGTCCGCGAAAATAACTAAAGCGGTTTTAGTTGTGACGTCATCGACTCACTTCGACAACGTCGCGAACGCATGCCTTTACAAGAAATACGCAAAAGAAAGCTGGACAACAATTCTTTCGAATTTTATTCCTTCTTTCCTGCGGAACCAGAAAAACGACTCTCTCGGCATACCAAATTAGCCACGTTTGTTGAGTCGTTGACGTCACTTCCGTTCTCGACGCAGTTTCTTCTTCTTCGCGCGGAGTTCTGTAATTCGAAGAATGGCGGCCGTTTAAATCGCGAATCTACAGGGAAAATAATATTTCTTCTCGATGGAGTTTTGCTTTAAGATTTGGCAAATTTGTTACTTAGGGTAAGTACTTTCAACCTCTGAGGAGAAAAGAAAAGGTGCATTTTTGGTCGCAGTAGCACTTTAAAAGATGTGAAAATTTCAGGTCATACACTGGAAGTTGACAAGCACAATTAGAATATTTATCAGCAATTGACTAGTTTTCTGTACCTGGTAAACTATGAGGAGGAGATCGCTCACATGTTTTAGTAGAAATTGTTATATTATCAACAGCTGTTCTGTGCAAACTTGATGATTGTTTTCCTTCGCCAACTATCGCTACCTGGAGTTAAAAAAATAGCCTTATTCAAAAACTGGATAGGAAGCTCGAGAACTTTTTGTTTTAATTGTTACTGTTGTTCAATTGCAGATAGATGCATTTCCCCCTGTACTCGAAACGTTGCTATCCCTATCGGAAGTGATTACATCTTGAGACAAACGTTCATACTTTAGTTACAAGTACATCCCTTTTTGCGGTAAACGGCGCTAAAACACTGAAGTTTTCACTTGTTTGGTGGATTTATATGCATAAACAACTTGATGAGCTCAAAAATGCCATACCTTAAAATTCTCGTCTGTTATTAATGGTACTTTTCCATTGAGCCAAGAACTGCCCTGGTACCCAGTGACACTCCAAATTGTCGAATTTCCCTTTGTCATTACGATTACACTGAGAGATCCAAAATCATTCGGAAGAAGGTAAGAGAATGTAAAACATATCCCAAGACTCTGGCTTATGGAATCGGTTATTATCAAAGGACTCTCAAGAAGAGCAGGACTGTTACTCACGTGAGCAAGTATCCCTGTAGATATTGAGAAAAGTAAGTATGTATCAAAATTACTACGTGTCTTGGAAGAAGAACTTCATGCAGAACTCAAGTTCAGGAATAAAATAACCAGATATCTATAAATACAAGAACAAAATTCCCACCAAAAGGTGGCTTTACGAGCTTCATGTCTCTTTTTGTACCTGACTCAATTGCAGGTTTCCATCCTTGATCGTTATTTGTCCAAGAACACAAGTCGGAAGTGAATTTGCAGCCTTCGATTTCTAAAGCTATTCGTTGGACGAAACAATTTAAATATATTATTTGAACGATGTGATATCTTCATTAAGATGATTTTTCAGAAGAGGAAAATAAAAAAATTATAATTTTTCTTATTAACATCATTATTACTATTATCATTACTGTGTCAAAATTATCATCGTCATAATTAGCATTATTTCTGTTTTAATTAACGTAATATCATTACTAAAGTAACCATGTTAAAATTGACATCAGCAATGAAAGGCACATTCACATATATAAATCAAGAAATGATCAGCGTGGTTAAAGAGACTCACAAATCATAAAAAAAAAGAACGCTGAAGAAATGGATGGACAAAAATAACGAAGCAAAAAAGAACTCAGCAAAAATGAGAAGACCCACCCTATTAAGCATTAAAAGAAAGAAAACGAAAAAATAAAAAATAAACCGGTAACAAACTGAGAGGGCACGAACGGCAAGAAGAAAAAGATAAGAAATGTTATTTGTTTTTATTCAAGCAAAACGTTTTGTGTTACCTTTGATATGCACCTCGCCGATTTGCCTATTAATTTCAGTTGAATGAGATTTTTCGGCTTCCAATTTATACAAAATCTAAGGAAAAGATTGTGAAATCAAAAGTAACACTTAATGTATTTAATAAAGACTCAAACGGTTCCTAAACGCATTTTATGGCTTTGGTTTCCTGCAAATTAAGGCTCTTCACTTACTCCGCAACGCGCCAGAGAAAACCTTTCAGCTTGAGGGAATATTAGAATAAAAGGTATGGTCAGATTTCACGTGAACTAATATCTATCACAATTGCGAAAGTACTTTCCAGAATATTTGTACCGCTAATCTAACTCCCCAACTGCACTATTTTTTAATAAACTCATTTTAAAAATTGTCTGGCGGCGAGAATTAGTAATTCCAAAAGGCTGATGTTTTCACAGATCAGTTTATCTGTTCTAACGATTGATGAAGTAGCATCCGGTGAAACAATGATGTCTATGATTTATCAAACTTCTCATAGACACGGGACTGACTTCAGCTACGACACCGAAAACAAATACAAAACACGAATTTAAAAAGAAAAATCGATTAAGAATTTGAATTTAAGTTCACAGTAAAATTGGCCATTAAATAAATTGATGGCCTCTAAACTTTCTAAGGTCAAAACACAAAACGAATAAACTTTTATTCTTTTGTACAGTGAGGCAGCCATTCTCCTGTTCAGTTCGGAATTCATTGCTCGCCATGCACTCTGGCTTTTTTTCCTAGGTTAGTGTGCTGCCAAACGATGTGATAATATTCAGCTTGGCTTTCAAACTACAATTCTAGCCAATAAGATTGCAGGAATCCTGTTAGTTTTACGATTCTCCCTCATGTTGCCCAAATCTAAAAAATCTGCATGACAAGTTAGATCTACCCCTTTTGATCCTTACTTACATTTAAGGTATATATTCCCTCTTGAAGCACAGTTTCGATTGTAGTATTGAAATAGTTTTCTTGACAATCAACTTTCAAGCTGCTGTGAATCAGACTTGTTTTTCCAGCAAATTTAAAGTAAAGCTGAATCGGACATGTGGGGCAATGTGATCCACGACAACAGTGTTTGTAAGTAGCTGTATAAAGGTAGAAGTCAAAATAGACATTATAATATTTATCAAAGTATCTTTATCAGTAAATTCTACAGCAATGATACCATTTGGGTTAATTACAAGGTATTTACAAAATAGGCCTCTTCTGACATCAATACAATTTTTGCCTGGCTTTAGTTTCAACAGACTGTATAATTGTGGCACTCTATTGAAGAAAATCTGCTATGAAGTTTACCTAAACTTGATACTTCTTCCCATGGTCAGATAACACAGATGGCCATGTTTGTTTCCTTTTTTTCATTATTTCTCGTGTATCTCTACCAGAATGTAGGTAAATGCTAAAACCTCTTCATATTCGACACCATGTCTCGTCACAGTTTTGAACGAAATAAATTTCATTTATTTTGCAGGTGATGATCCTCGCATGTGAAATAAATTTAAGCGATTTCAAAAGGAAACCTGAAAAATCCAAGCTTCAACGCGTTTCGAGCACGTGCCTCAGTCCCAGATACTTGTCGGGCGCTACTGCCAACTGAGCTACACCCACAGTGAAAATCTGGGCGAAACCCATTTGCAATCTTTCATTGGGGAGGGGGAGGGGAGGATTGTACTCGTATCTATTTACCTTGGATAGAAAACTCTTGACCAGTCCTGACAACTCTAGGAAGGGAATTCGTCTTAAAGTCTACATGAGTCACTCCTAAAATAAAAACCCGGTCACTTCATACTCAGCAATAATAAACCAAGCAGAAAATAAATGGATAAAAAATATTTTCCTTGCTTTGCCTCATCTGCTTCTTCTCGATGCTATAATGCAAGCAAGGTACTTCTTGAAAATTTCGGTAGAGCACAATCTTCATTAGAGGGAGTTTTGATTGTTCTACCATTTCATATAAGAAGCAATTGTCTTAAGATTACTTTGATATCTGATAAAGGAAAATCAATACTGTAAAGAACCAGTGGTGTAATCATTGGTTTATCCAATTTACCTGGCCGAACCCAAAACAAGCGCGGTTTTTGAATGGGACGCTCGTAAGTGCCATTTGGTAACTTCATTCCCACTGACAAACAGTCCTTTCCACCTCCTTGTTTCATGAGTGTTTCAATGAAGTAGAAATGGCATTTACTCAACCAAATTTCTTCAGACGTCTGCGATGAAGGGTACCTGAATATGGTGAAAACAATTCCCAAGAAATAAACTGCTTGTCATACAATAGTAGAGAATGCTGATGGTTCCTCTAATCTCATCGATTCCTCAGTCTAAGTGTCAAAAACGAACAGACAAACAAACAAACAAAACAAACAAACACTTATCAGATCCCTGGCTTAACAACAATGTAATAATCCCCTCACAATCGTGTGTGAAATACTTAATGAAAATAAAGAAGTTCTTACTTATCCCACTGATGATAATCCGTCCAATAGCCCGTCTTTAGTTCAGCAATACGCTTCTTGCCCGAGTCTTCATCGTTTTCATTCACCAAGTTGTTTACTCGAGGCATGTGAAGCCATAGCTGACACGCATCATCACAAGCAACGTAAAATGTATAATTTCCATTTTCCGGAACCTTTTGAGAAAATAGCATATGCACGAGATACTTCTTGGTTGGCTCACGTTGTAGAGCGACGGACTGCCTTAAGGGAGGTCAAGGAGAATGCTGTGACATCCACAAATGTTTAGACTTTCTAGTCTTTTCGGAGAAGCACAATAAACCGTAGGCCCCGTCTCCTACATCTTTCTCAGTATGGTTAGCAGGGGACATGAAAGAACCGACACACTTGTCGTAGCTCCCGTTGTAACAGTCTGGCCTTGTCAATATTTGCAAAGGTCCCCATTTAAGCCAGCGTTGAGCTGAACTTGGCCAGACTGTCTAAAGATCGCAAATACATGCATACATACATACATACAAATGCGAAGATGAAGCCCATTATAATTAAGACCCCAAGTTTTTTTGTAGCTTTCAAAACGAAGGTAATTCATTCAATGTTATTCATTGTGCCATTATAAATTTGAAAAAATTTTCAAAACAAACCTGAAGGTATGTTGCAAGGCGTTGTCCGTAATTATAGTGGAAATTATTCCCAGCGTCCAGATTTTGAAGAATCCTCACAGCATCTGCACTTTTCGGAAACCTCCTATCATCCCGCAAGCTTTCTACTGCTGCAGAAGATATCTGATACCAAAGTTCTTGACGAACTCCATGGGCAGTTATCTCATATCCTGTACAAAAAGCGGCAAAAACTGTAAAAATAAACTCCTATCTCTGTTAATAATCAAAATCTAAGAACGCATAAGTTTTGCTCACCCATTTTCTAGACAAATTTGTTAAAGGCTCAAAAACTATATCTGAAAGCCATTTCTTATGGATGAAAACGGCCAAGAAAAATTCCATTGATAATGGCTAGAATATTAGTAAGTGTACTCAACAAATAGTAGCGATATAAAGGATACAGAATACTGTCTAAAGTGGGTTTCTCAGAAGATTACTGCAGCATAGCATATTCAGACTTTTCTTCTCTTACTTCTAAACTTTTTACTTTCACAATAGTTAAAAAACACCTTACCCGTCGCTGTGAGCAAAACCTCACAGAGGGTTAAACTGGCGACATCAGGAGCCGATATGGTTAAGCTCGTAGCCATAATAGACGGTTCGCATATCATCAATCTCTTATGCTCCGTCTTCCAATCGTAAACGTCGCAGTTTGCTATTGCAAATTCCTTATGATTTCGTAATGTAACATGCAGGTTAGAAAATTGTTCTAAACAGCAGTCTGGCCTGTTGTACACCAACATTTTGTAAACAAATGCCTTCCTTTCCAGAGTAACACTCCACCAAAGGGGTTCGTCGTTGGACTGAAGAAAAACATCATTGAAGTCTGGTTTTTACCTAATTCTGTGAGGAACCCAGCTAACACTAGTCCTACAGTGTAATATAGCAAAGCAAACTAGTAATCAACTACTTGACATGAATAAAATTACATACTGTTAGTCGTTTCATCGTAAAGCAGGAAGCGATATTTCCGTCAACCACTTGAGCAGACGTCCCAATGAAATCTGGGTGCAACGCTTTGTCTGTTGGTCGCCCAGCAATGTAATTCCCTAAATTCAACAACAAATGGCGAAAGTTACCCTTGATACAGGAATTTTGTGAGCCTATGTTCCTAAAACAAAACGATCAATGAGTATGAACGAATAAAACACAAATAAAAACACAAAAACAAAAACAAATAAAAAATAAAAACAATACATAAACTAAACAAAAGTAAAGACAAAAACAAAAAGGACCAAAACTGTGTTTTGGTTATCTGTCTCAAGATTTGTTCAAGGCGACTCTTGCCCTTGCCACTTAAGGCGTTAAAATAGAGAAGCGACCGGAACACGAGGGGATGTATAATCAACTGTTTGCCTTAGGTGACAACTGTGGAATACAGTAAAATGATGGTATTGATATACATACTCTCCTCTGTTTCACACAGATAACTTTCTCGGAAATTGCACTGACTTTGAAAAAGTTTCCACTGCGAAAGCCTTCCCAAAATTCCACATTTTTGAAGCGGAGAAACAAAAGGGTATCCACGGTGCCAACTATCTATTGAGATTTGCTCATTTTCAAGCCACTGCCACAAACCGAGCCGTTGTATTCCTATAAAGACTTGTATATCAATATTTGGCAGAAGTTGATCTCTTTCGGCAAGGCGCGTGTTCATTGCTTCTCTCTTTATCTCGGTATCCACAATGGCTAAGTCACCTCCATGTGTTCTACAATTTTGACGGGCTATTTGCCAGTTCACGAAAACATCGCCACCGAATATTTTAAAGCACGATTTCTCCACTTCAAACCAGCCATCTTCACAAGACGCTCCTAGCAAAATAAAAGAAAAATGCACTTGCCACTTCCTCTTACAAAATTACCTTAAGAGGCTTTTGTTTCGATCTTACGATATCTGACTATTCCTTTCACTTTTCAGTTACAAAGAAACATGCGAAATGCGTTATGTTCTAGCTCAGGCTGAAAAGAGTTAGCTGCACACTCTATGCTGGTCTTATTTATTGATTAGCAACTATTAGTTCGTTTTCCTTTAGTTTGATACAAAACTTTTTACTTACCGGAGATGGAGGTTTTCTTTTCACAGATATATCCCTGGCTTGATAAGCAATCTACATCATTAATTCGCCAGCCTTTTCCTTTCCAGGCATCATTCCATTTTTCCCCGTTTATCATATTACCACACCATCCGTCTCCAGATGGCTCGTAAGGACCCCACAATGACTGGAATTTATCGAGAGAAAATATCTCATTTCTAACTGTTATCCATTGGCTACGACTCATAGCGTGGGCACCAACGTAATAAAATCCCCATTCATTCAGATATTCATCAAGGACTTCAGCTATATTTCGAGCAATGTCAGTATCCTTTAAGACCGCCAAGTGCCCCCCTCTGTTGTAACAGTCTAATTTGGCGTCATCCCAAGTCTTCGGCTGTGTCAAGTGTACTTGGAGACAGGAATTGGAATTCAATATGCGCCACCCAGGAAGACAGGTGCTTTGTTCTGAAAAATTTAAAGTAGCTCTAATTAATCACCGCAGCAACCTCGAAATGATCTCTCCTACGTGGTATGCGATTGCTTTCTGGGTTTAAAAGATTTTTTAGCCATTCTGGGAAGGTCAAGATTGCACTTTTTAACATAAAACCTCTTTACAGCTAACAAACAAAGCTTTACAATACTCAGAATAGAGAATCCATTTCTTCTTTCTGAAGTTGGACTCGCATCGTTCTACAATGAAAACCTGTGATGACTTTCATATTTTACATCGCGTTAATTTAAATACTTAAAATACCGGGCGAAGGCACGCCTTTAGTAATTTTAAATTAGTTTTAAGTTTTAAGTGTATATAGACTGGAATGTTTTGCTATTTTAAATTTATGATTGCAAATATTAAATAGGTTTTAGTTGATCCTATAATGTATTTAGTTAGTTAGTTAGTGACAGATGAAGAACCACTCTGTGGAAACACTGTTAATAAACCCTTTACTTACTTACTTACTAACTTGCTTACTTACTTACTTACTTACTTACTTACTTACTTAAGTACTTAATCTCGTTTCCACCGAACGTTTATTTCCCAGTCAATCATCCCTGCAAATCGACTCACCGCGTAATGAAATATTCGCGAAAAACCATTCTTGAATCGACTGATCGCAACAAGGTTGGTAATCATCTAGGGTAACTCCGAGAGGTGAATCCTGACCTCGATTAATGAGCAGCACTTTACGGTAACCTTCTTGGTAAGCGTTTGACGAGTAAAGGAAGTCAAAAGGAAAGCAGCTGAGATCATTCAATGAAATATTTCGAGATATACTCTTTCTACAATTAGCTGAATCCACCGGGTAAATAAAATACAATATGTCAGCAGACGTGTTTCTGGTCTGTCGAGCTTCCATTGTGAACTGATGAATCCAGTCACTATGAAGAGGAATTCTGTCAAGCTTGAAAGCCACAGCCTTTGCAGGATCGGTCTTGATGTATGCATGCAAGCTTTGAGTGACTAAATCAAGCGAATAGAAGAAAAAATGATAACCTCGTCGGCGCAATTTCAATGAATTACCTTAGGGTAGACGTAACTTACGTACAAATTTAAAACCAACGAACTTTGTAGGCTTAGAAAAGGTGTATTTAATTCAATTCACCCACTCCATCAAATTGTGGCATTTTAGAATTCAGACAAAGCTTTTTAACCGACAAAAACAATGAAGCGATCATGGAGTTCTACTTCAATTTGATTTACATCTCGGATTACATTAACAAGATTTAATCAGTTATCTAGAAAGTAGCGTTTATCAAAATATAACGGGTTGATTATTTGTTCGCTAGTGTTCATCCAGCAACAACAAGAGACCTTACCTTGTCTTCTTCAAAGGATATAATCAGAATTTTCAATAATTTCACTTGCCTAAATTTTGACATGTTCCATTTGAAAAAGAGATATTATCGATAGCGATATCACTTGAGAAATACCATCCTCTGATAGCTTCAACCACAATCTGAAACGTAAAGTGCATCTTAATCAGATTGTAGCGATGAATCACGGGCACGTGTTACATTTTTAACTCATGCATGTACATGTATATCCAATAAATAAGGTATGGCCATTTTACCATCAGAATAACTGTAACGCATATCTTGTTACCATGTATTGTTTAAAAGATGAATGGAAGACTCAAGCACAATTTATCGTTTAAAAAAGAACCAAAAAGGGATTTGCCGGGTTGGAGTTCTCAGCTCAGGTGAAGAAGTCAGAGGAATTGGAAATCGACCTTTAGAGAATGACAAACAATTCACCTGATATTCAACGGATGAATTAACGAATATGGCGGCCTGCAGCCATTGGTTTGGGCGATTTCCTGATTTAATCCATTGCACCGTCTCATTGTCATTTGTCCTCAGGTAAATAATGAGGCTCCCCATCGAACTGCCGTACATGTGGTACATAACTGATAAACACTTTGGACCTTGCATTTTGGGGCTTACAAGTCTAGCCTTGTCACCATGATTACGACCACTGGCCTCCATGTAGGCATACATTCCATTGGCTATGAAGAAATTGACATCAAATGATATTGCCTTTACGAGCTGATCACATACAAGATCTATTACAATAATTAACAATTATTCACCGAAAGCGAAAGAGAATATTTTTTCATAATTCCCCGAGACGAATGCAGCCATTTTGAAACTTAGCGCTCCTGCTATAATCACCTCGTGCGAGGTGATTTAGCGAGGTTTGACGTAATCCTCGACCCATCAGAGCGTACACGTCTTTATAATCATCGGAACAGTTACACTAATCTTAGATAATGAGATATCGTAGACCCTGCAAATCTCAAACGTGACCTATGGTACTTACTTATTAAAGGATAAGGCTACATAGCAATGAATGTATAACTCCATAGCTGAGTTCGGCAAGTCTAAGATGATATATGTCTTGCATTTATTAAAGTTGAATTCTCTCTTAAGTTGTGCTATTTTCAGCAGTTACCTGATGCGTCAGACTGAGGTCCAGTCGATTGACTTGGCGTGCTTCCTGACTGTACAATCCAATTAATCTGTGCCATCCCTGTTTTGTCATTTTCCCAATCACATAAAGTAGAGTTATCGAAATCGCAATCTGAATTGCAGAAACAAAATTAATCTTTTAAATCAAGAGATTATAAACCGCAGTTTATATTGCCTCACTTTAACATTTCCATGGCAATATGCAAATTATTGAGGTAAACATTCTTACGTGGGCAGGTCTCTTGTGATCTATAATGCTGATAGCGACTATCAAGAGAGGAGGAATTCAAAATTCAATCCTACTTTTAACCTTTGGATAATAACAGGTTGGAGACTGACATTAATGCTCTGTTCAATGCGTTTCAGGCAGTACTCTGCATTTAAACAGCACGTAATAAGCAAGGGAAAAATCTCTCTGAGGTGTCATGAGTGAATAAGTCTGAAATCTAGTTCTCAATTTAACCATCTATGACCACATAGGCCTATTGTAATAAACAGTGTCTTAATTCAGGCTTCTGATTTGATTACAACTGACAAAGATTGGCAGATGTAACGTAAATGGTACGATTTTGGCAATTGCGTTGAATAAATGATCAAAATATATAGCTCCTGAAAGCAAAACGTGTGTATAGTTATAACTCCGACTGTTGTTTCGTGACCAACTGTTTGCCAAACAGCTAGAGAGCGTTTTCTTGTGCGACATAGTGGTTGGAATGTGCCTGCGAACTTAATGTACACCATGACTGATGACTTCTTTATCAGCTTTCTATTTTGATCCTTTATTTTTCTTTCAAGAAAACTACGTGGAAGCCACTTCTAATTAAATGTCTCCCATAACCTGTCTGCCCCTAGATACTGAAATGTACTATTGCCTATCGGATTTATAATCTCACCTGGCGAGAGCACTCTTGTTTTGTTAGTCGCCAAGAGAGGCCTCAGAGTTAGCAACAACAGAGCGGCATAAGTGATTCTCCAATAATAGTTGTAAAATGGCATTTCGCCAACTATAGGCTGTTTGGTGATCCTCTTACTTTCCTTGATCTTCACTGAAAGGACTTTTCACCAGCGCATGATCAACATCTTCAAGATAAAATCTTATTAGCAAATAAATTGGTTTGATATTTGCAACTGAAAATAACGGATGTAATCATTTTTTCTAACCAATCTAAAAAAGCAAAATTACCATTATCACTTTAAGACTTCCGAATAGCTACAAGCACTTATAACCAATTTACGTATTTAGTGGAACTTGCCGCTGAACAACGAATGAAAGAATAACAGACTCGAAAACAAAACACCCAAAAAGTTAAGGTAGAGAAAGTTTTTGTCTCTTACACCATTTTGTATTTCTGGAAAGAAATATCAATTGCACTTATATCAATAATCTGAGAAGTTTTAATTTGACGAAATTTTAATTTTCATTTATTTGCTCTTAGCCCAGCATGACAGTTCCCAATCATGTTTAGGAAAATTAAAGAATAATAATAAAAATAATAATAAATAACAATAAAAATAAAACGGAAGAGGTAAAATAAAACCTAAAACCTGATTCCTTTTGCCATGGATGGCAATACGATCTAAGTAAATTTGAGTCAAGGCACCAAACTTTACACTTGATATGTATGACATAACAATAACATTAACGTTATGCTTAATGTAATATAAAATCCTGTTGGTCGAATACTAATATGAAAATATCTGTATCCGTTGCCATGTGAAATCTTTGGTTTCTGAGATAAATAGGCGATTGATACCGTGTAAATAAAGTGAAAAGAGTATAAGCACCATATGGAAAAAGCACTTAAAATTTGCTTGGCTGGTTACCCGTCATCGTTGAGGTAAACGGGAAAATTAAAACCGCTGATAACCAAGGCGCACTCTGTGTATTTCCATCCGTGAGTAATGAATATTCTAAACAAACGCGGTGTCACTTAATGCCTTAAACGTAAACTTTCATTAGAAGGAGCGTGGTAAAGCCAAAATCGCTTTATATTTTTGTTTATATGTACATCCTACTTTAAAAAAAAGCTGTATGAAGCTGATGATGCATAATCAAAAGTAAATTCAAATTGTCCTCCTGATTATTATAATGCAAAATTTGCATTACAATGACCACATGCTCAGTTTTCTTTGAACAGTTAAGACATTTCCATGAATAAAAAGAAAGATAAAATTTCGCGAATCCATTAACTTTAAAGGAGGATGTAACGTTTCGGTTTTGTTAATATATCTTCATAAAATATATTGCATGACAATAAAAGGTCGCAAATTTAAGAAAATATACGGCATTTTTTAAAAACACGTTTCGACAGTTCTTGTCATCTTCAGTTCTAATTTATACAAAGTACAAAGTTGAATTTGAAGTGTACAATAAACTACTCATGGGAAAAAAACAACAGTAGAAGCAAACAATGTATGCAACTAGAAGGAAGTTTTCAAATTAACAGGATAAAGTTGATGATTAAGTGTAGGTTGCTCCCATTGAATGTGAATAGATTCTTTTATTTTAAACTGGAAAGTTGTAGAAGCGTGATCTACGATGCTGAAACTTTTATTAGAACTAAGAGTGCGACATTGTTGAGAATTTTGTAAAGGTCTGAAAATGTGAGAGGTCCTATCACCAACCAAGTGCTCACGCACACGTCTGGATAAATGCCGAGAGTTTTCACGGACTTAGTAGGCAGTACAGCCCACACATAAAAACGTGTCAACCACACACGTAGTGTCTGAAAAGGAAACCAGGGGATGGTACTCATTACGGTTCAGCGTGAGGTACCGATTGACAACACTTTCGCAAACAAAATACTTACATTGAAAAAATACTTACATTGAAAAAATACTTACATTGAAAAAATACTTACATTGAAAAATACTTACATTGAAAAAATACTTACGTTTATAATTAATAACTTATAACTGCAACAGCGAGTAACTTGAAGACTTCTAAAACAGAGGGCGGGGCCAAGCGCGACTGTAGGTAAACTGACTGAAAAACGTCATTATTTATAAAAGAAACTGGCTTTGAATACAAAAGAAATGCAAAAAAACCGGCGGTATGAGAAACGTGAGAAAAAGGTGTAACAGACGAAGAAAAACGCTGAATTTAAGTCTTTCTCTGCGTTTAGTACGAGATTATGGAACTGTCTAAACCCTGACTTGCGTAAGCTCAGGAAAAGAACATTTAAAAGGAAAATTCATAAGTTGCTTTTGACTATACTTGGGATTGAGGACTATTATGTTGACGCCCATTCACTAATATTGAAATTCAATACCAATGATTATCGAAAATTATAACTGTAGTACTTCGCTCACATCCGTATATCACAATTCTCTCCTCTCTACTTTTCAGTCTGCTCTGCCTGTATTTGATTATTATGTCTTGTTTCAACTCACTAGTAATTTTATTGTATTTAATTTGTATGACAACTGTACGTATTTTTTAGCTTATAATGTAGTAAACTAATGCATGGCTTATAACCCCAATAATATTGTAGTAATGAAATCTCTTTAGTTTATTGTAAAATCTCTTTGGTTTATTGTGGTAATCAAACTTCTTTAGCTTCCAATGTGTAGTATTTACTTATTTATTTCTAATACCCGCCAAGACTAGCTAATGCTATTTGCGGGTTGTGTAAATTTGCTTGTAATGTTCTGTAAAATAATAATAAACAAACAAAACAAACAAACAGAAAACACTAATGTGGAGGTAAGAAAAAAAAAAGGACGAAATAAATAAATACGAATTACACGAAAAATAATAAAAAAAGCATTGGATCTTGGCTCATCTGTAAACCAGGAAACTCGGCTTAATCACTATCCAAACTGAATTGCAGCTGATTTTTATCCTTCTAAGTACTTCGATTATCTATTTACGAGGGTCACTTTCTTTTGCACTTTGTGCTACAACCATGCAATCGCATCGCCTGCGGCCAAGCTCTCCTTGAGGGCGAGGAGCTTATATTGGACTTAGATGAAAGACGTGCAGAAATTAAAGGTGTAAGTGACAAAAGAAAAGAACGACAACAAGAGGCCAAGCTCTCTTTGAGGGTGGGGACTATATTGGACTTGAAAAGAAATAAAAAGCAATATCTCACAATCGTCACACGCAACGAAGCACACAAAAACTGGTTGCTTTTAGCTGCAACCGATCACGTCGATCTTTTGACTTCCCAGTTATTTCATTATTGATCATCGAGTCACCTCTTCTTTAATTTTAGATAGTTTAGTGAAGCTTTATTATGGGGAAATGTTTCCCATTTGCTTGCCAATTTCACTTTTCTCTCATGATGCAATTTTCATAAAGAAAGTCTACACGATTGTTAAAACTGACCACTTCTGCCCGACGACAAAAGGGCATTCTTGATTCCGAGTGAGGTTCATCATAAAAAGTTAAGCTATGAGAATAACTTTTCTAAACGCTATTTACATATTTGTAAGTTTTTCCACAACTTGTCAATTGCAGGTGCTGTCACATTATGATGAAAGGGCAAAAACGCGTAACACCAAACATCTGTCCAAACATTTGGTAGAAAATGCTCCCTTTGGTTTGATGGACATTCGAATGGCAAAGACTGCTGTTATTTAGTCGTAATTAATAACAGAGAGAGGAGAGTATGACCTCCAAGCTGAAACAACAAGATTTTGAAGACACAACAAGCTGAAAATGTCCGACACCGCGCGCGGTAACCTACTTTTCTCGTCTTCGCAAAATTAGAGTAAGGCCTCATTAGTGAGGTGCAAATCCTTTGAGACTTAACTGAGAACGCCAACTGACTCGAGTCTTGCTTAAGTGAGTGTTTATTCATCTGTTCAGTATGGAAAATTTTCAGGTACATCGTAAAATGAAAAGAGCCGAATCGAAACCGAAGCCGACCAAATTGGCCCGTCACGGGTGGGTCTGAAAGGTGCCATTTAGACCCTTTCAAACCCTGAGATGGCCCTTTTAAGAGTCAAATGAAAATTTCTGATTTGGTCCCGACAAGGTCTACAAAAATGTACACACAGTAAAATTTTCTCTGGGTTTTTCTTACAAATCATAGACTTTTGATTGGCTTACTCAACTTTATGGTGGGAACTTGTTTGTGATATGTGATTAAAATTTTGGAAAAATTCTTCTTTCTTCGCTGGTGCACCTTGGCAACTCTTCTTCTGCGTTTGAACCGGCGATAAAACCTTGTCCACAGATACAATGAATTACAGTCGCGATTCATCATCGCAGACGCTATTTCTTGGCTTCATTCGAAAACAAATTTCTCTGCGAATTCCGAAAGAATATGTAGGCGAACGAAATGCGCTTAATAACACATTTTCCTTTCAACTTAAGTGCAAAAACCACCACTCCATTGGTCTCCATTCATAAAGTTTGGTTTCGACAGCCAAGATCTACCAGACACTGCTGAAGATGGAGATGAAGTCAGATGAGCTAAGGCGCTACTTTCCATTTAGAAAAAAAGCGCTTTATGTTCAAGAAAACTATAGCAACGCACGTAGAACCTGGAAGGTAAGCTCTATTGTTTACAAGATAAACATGTCACTGAAACTGGTTTTTTGAGACCGTTTCTTCATGGGAATGAAAGTAGGCATGTTTCTCAACCAGGCTACTGAAGGTACGATCAACAAAATATTGACTGACGCCTAATTTTGGAAGATCACTCCATATCATATTTTGATGGTTCCTGCTGCAGTTTTGGTCACGCACGAAATCGGACGGTGAATTTCAAAATCTTAAACTCAGCTCTTTGCAGCTGCTGCTGTTTTACGCTACTCTGTTAAGTTTATTTCCTGGCACATCTAAACTTTTTTTTCTAGATCGGTAAGCAAATACGATCAGCAGGTGTTTCTCTTATCGGCTCAATGGCTTGGTTTCCTTCCTTATCAATAGAATACGTTTGCGACCGGCGTTATTACTAACAAAGTGCGACAGGTATTATAAAGTGCAAACATTTTATGGCAATGGCGGCCCCTATTAATCACACGGTGTGACGTACAGAGCAAAGACCAATGATTACACAAAACAAAGTACATTTGCTGTATATTTCATTGAGCGAAGGTAGAACCTGAAAAATCAAATTAACCATAGATTTTGATGTACAAAGCAACGAATTCAAAATTTCCAAGCATAGAACAATAACAGCTGGAAGAAAAGGTTTGGTCTTGTCTGTAGTAAATCCAAGATAAAAAAAACCGTCCTCAAATGTTGTTGAAATGAAAATAGGGAAGGAAATATAACAGATAAGCAGAA